CCTGATTTCCAGATAGCTAACTAAGCAATGCGTGAATCCAGAAAAGCTTGGAAACACGTCCCATTGTCCCTGCGGCTCAAAACATGCCATGCCATATTCACGTACACATCTGTAACTCCTAGAGTTCTGGCAAAAGGTAACTACAGGTCTGCATGTTTAAGCACAACCGTCATAACCGAGGTCACGATGGGTGGAGGGCTCCTCGGTGCCAGGGCCCACGGTGACATTGCAACAGGCGGCCAAGGGCACACAGCACAGGCCTTTTTGGAAGATCAACAACACTGATGGAACGTCATTATCTTAAATCTACAAAAATGTTCTGAAAGGGCCTCGAAAATGTTTGCTGTCTACTTGAAAACCGTGTATCCTGTACTGAGTTTTCAAGCACCTTTGTTTCACACAGGAGCATCTAAAATGCCCCAAGGACACAAGCGAAGTCCTCCTCCTTTAGGGGGCTCAGAAATTGCCGGCACCTTTCATACAGCAGGTGCCCACTAAGTGCTGGCTGGATTCAATTGCTTCTCACCAGCACATTCTGACAAAAACAAATGAAACCAGATTGAAAAGGAAGCTGCCGTTCCTACGGGATCCCCTTGGCAGAACTGGAAGGCAACAAGTGGAAGCGATACAGTTCGTTTGCATTGCTGCCCTGATCTCGCAACAATAAGGACAGGAAACATTCTTATTAGTAAACTAAGCCTCAGACAAAGACAAAAAAAACAAGCGTAAACAACAAGTATCCTCTAGGTCTTTTCCTATTAAAAGGCCAAGGTAAATTTGGATAAGGGCATAACAGTTTAATAACAAAACATGCCTTTGTTATATTAGAAAATATTTTGTAGCTTAAGAAATTTTCTTTTTTTTTTTTAAGTTATGGTATGCCTGAAATAGCTACTGTATCTTGCAAAGGTTTTGTTTTTTTTTTCCCCCCCGCTCAGATTCTAAAGCTATGTAAGAAATAAAATAAGTAACAAAGGAAAAAAAAAACCCTACATTAAAATGAACGGTTCATCTTCAGTCTTTATGACCAGGGTGGTTAATATGAAATATCTAAAAAAAAAGAAAGAAAGAAAGAAAAAAAGTGAAAATTCTTTACCATCCTAAAATACTATATTATTTCTTTATTGGAAAACATGGAAGAAACTGGAAATATACAAAAATCCATCCAGACTCAGCGCCTACACTCTAATCTTGGAAAGACCAACATTGTTTCAGATTCAGTTAAGGCTTTCAGTTATAAATCTGACTTTCACTAGCATTTATGTTTCTAATCCAGCCCCTCAATCTTTAACTTGAATTATGTAGGACCAAGATTCATTTTTCCCTCTGTCCATGTCTGCCGAATCCTTTTCATGAAATGGCCACCATGTGTAAAATGCAAGTGGTTTTTTAAAGTCACCAGATTACTCGACTCTCACTCATAAGCTTCAACGATCAGTTTGTTGTATTGCTGGAATTATGGAAAAACTATAAATAAAAGAGAGACAGACAGACACCAACCTGTTGGACAAATTTACTTAATAATTTTAATATAACTTCTATGTAATAGCACAGAGTATACATACAGAGTGTATGTATAGCACAATACATTCTTTCCAACCTTAGTGTATGTCTTTTTTTTAAAAACAGGTTTATTGGGATATAATCCACATACCGTAAAAGTCACTAATTTTAAGTGTACAATTCAATAGTTTTGTAGTATATTCAGAGTTGTGCAACCATCACCATAATCTAATTTTAGACCATTTCATCACCCCAAAAAGAAGCTGGGCACCCTTTACCAGCCATTCCCTCTCCTCTCTTCCTTCAGGCTTACAACCGCTGCTCCCCGTTCTCTGTATGATTTGCTCATTCCAGGCTTCATTTAAATGGAATTATACAATTCATGATCTTTTGTGACTGGATTCTTTCACTTTCCATGTTTTTAAAGTTCCTCCAGCCAACCTTAGCGTATTTCTGAAGGTTGGACTTTTCTAATCCTTCTGACAAATCAAACAAATGACCCTTTAAATTTCAAATACCGACCCACCCCACCCCCCCATCCCTTCTCAAAAATACCATTTACTTGCTATTTGCCTCTAGAGAGTCTACACTATAATTTGCTATTTAGGTTCTTTCCAAACTTCTTATTCTGGATCCTTCCCATAATAAAACGCCGACTCCTTCAAACATCAACCCTTCCCATACCTGCGTTTCTCTAACAATAGGCTACAACCCTGACTTGGGCAGAAAGATGACTGAGCCCTTTTTAATAAGATGGCCACGACATGTTTAACGTGCACGTTAATTTTTTTTTTTTTTTTTAGCCATCAGATTATTTGGCTACGGCTCATAACTTCCAAACCTCCTTATTTAGAGGCTCTGCTCACATTATGCTGATACGAAACCACCACGTCTGCATGACTTCGTCGGCTTCGAAAACGTCTACCTTTTCTAAGTTCAAGATTTGTTTAAAGCTCACCCTATTGCTGTCACGAAGAGGAAACACTAATCCCTCAATGTGCCAACGCTGTTGGGAACCAACACCCCAGTCTCCCTAACTGGACCAGATAGCGGGGGGAACACCAGCCTCTCTAGGGCTCCGTGGTTATTTCTCTCAGAATTAAGTAAGTGTTCTAGCACCTTTTGGACTAAAAACTGAACATATGCTCACACTGGGCATATCATTTAATCCTCACAACTTCCCAGCTGCAGGGAGGGGCAGAGGCTGAGTTAGAACTTGAGCAAACTGCAGTGAGGGCTTGGGGTGCCTTGGCGCTTCCCCTCGGGTTTGGAGGAACCAACCATTTTCAAGGCATCTTGGAGAAAAGCTTTCGCTGTGAGGGATTATGAACATACATGAAAATACTCCCGCCCCTCCTGCCTGTCTTCCCAAGAAAGAAACGCCTTTCACAAAGACTGAATTTCCATGAAGAACGTTCCAGACGACAGGACATCCCACTTTAAAATGCCGGACTCCTGCGTCCCATAAGCCAGGCCCTCGCTGCTATTGTGAATTTCAGAGCTCACTGCCCTGAAATGATACCACCAGAGACACTACCCAGTCCAGCGGCACGCCATTAGAAAATGCACTGCGTCTCCTGGGTCTCCCAGACTATGCTGAGCTTCTAAAAGCTTAGACGCCCTCTTTGGTACCCCTCACCAGCACCAGGCACGTCTGCGAGCCTTAGAAGGGAGCCCAAAGCCTTTCGCCCAATCCAATGAGCTCAAAGTTTACAAAACAAAGAGCAGGAGAGCTCCGAGTTGGTGGACCGTCTGGCCTCAGTCTGCGTCTTACTCGACGCAGTAAACACGCTAATTCTATAGCAATCGGCTCTTACGCCATCAGGGACTCGGCTCTTCCCGGGCGTTGAAGAAGGGTTTGTTTATACAAGCTGCCTTTCGGAGCTGCGCCCGCGTTGGGACCAGACAGCCCCCGCCGCCTCCGGCTTCTCCCCCTCGCTCTCCAAGGCTCGGTCGTGATTTTTCCAGTTGGCACCACCTGCATACCCTGGGCAACCATTACTCACCAGCACGCCCTCGCCGTTCGCAGCCCCGGTTCTGCGCCCGCATTTCAAGTTTAATCGTGAGCGAGTTACCCGACCATCGCGAGCGGGGCAGGAAGCCACGTTTTAATTTTCTGAAAAGAATAGAGCCCCCTCCTCCCTACCCTCCACACCCCGCGGGGCCCTCACTTCGCCCTCCCCCCCACTCCCTCCCCGCTGTCCCCTACCCCTACCCGACGCGACCAAAACAAAAGCTATCAGATTGCAAGCGATAGCGAGTGTGGAGCGATATTGCTTATTAACTATGTACAAAGGAAGTGCGGGGCAAGGGGTAGGGGCTGCACCAGATCTCCAGCCGCCGAGCCGAGGCCAGGGCTGTGCGCTCGCGAAACTAAACGCGCTCCTCTCTCCCCCGCCGCCGCCGACCCTCGCGCTCCTTCCACGAGGGCGCCAGGCTCCTCCGGCCAGGGCAAGGCGTTTAGGTGTCGCCGGCGGCCGTGTGGCGGCGGCAGCTACACCCCGGCGCTGCCAGCACGTGTGGGGAATTGCACGTCGGCTCCGACCACACACCCACTCCCGCACACTCGGGGACTGCGCGACCACCGCGCCTCACCGACCCCCTGGCCCCGCCAGGAGGAGGGGAGCGTCCACCGGCCGGGTGGAAAGGGGGAGGTCCCGGAGCCCTCCTAACTGGGGGCCTCCGGACGCGCTCCCCGGAAGAGCCTGGCTGGTGCGCGGCCCCCGCCTTCGCACTTTTTTTCCAGGGGCTGCATGGAGGGGTGGGGGTCCAGGCAGGAACGCTCCCCGCACCCCAGAGCCGCACTGAGCAGCCCCGTGGAGCCAGGAGGCAGGTAACCTGCGGCGGATCGAGCGAAAGTGACGGGAAAGGACAGGAATCTAAAGAGCCCGAGGGGCAGAGAGCGCTGGGCGACGGGAGGCCGCGCTAGGATGTTTGGAAACGTGTCCTGGGGCTGTGGGTCCGCTCAGCCGGGCAACTCCCCGTCGAGGACAACTTGCACGCCACCGCCGGTGGGCTCCCCGCCACCGCACGGGGTCGACCCCGTCGCTAGGGTTCCGCGCGGCCGCAGAAGCTGTCACCGCCGTCAGCGCGCTGCGCTGGAGCCAGGACGGCACGCCGATCGGCCCCGCGCGCCCCGGGGCGGACGAGATGCGGGTGGCGTGGCCCGGCCCGGCCCGGCCCGAACTTCCCGGATCGAGTCCCAGCGCCAGGCCGGGAAGTGCGCGCTAAGGAGACGTGCTGCCCGCGGGGCAGGGCTCTCGGGACGGCAAAAGAGAATGTCCCCGGGGCCCTGCCTGCGGGGGGACGCGCTGAGCCGGGGCCCCCGGGGCTTAAACTCACCAGTCCGGGCCCCCGGCAGAGCCCCTCCGCGCCCCGCCCCGCCGCTCCCGCGCCCGGGGGCCCGACAGCTGCGACCACTCGGATTTCGCAAACAGGGCGCAGCCCCTCGGAGGAAAAGTTCCCGCAGTGGCCGCGGGCGGCGGGCAGATACTCACTTTCTCCACTCGTCGGCCAGAGCGAGAGCGCGGCGGAGAAAAACAGGAGCCCCCACAGCGAGGTCAGGGACCCTCCTCCGGAGCCAGACTTCATTCCTTTGATTTGGGACGAAATTCCCCTTTCTCAAAAATAAAAGGGGTCGGGGAGGAAAAGAAAAAGTCTCCAACTCAGTCTTCGCCCCCCTTCCAAAGATAAGGGCGAAGGAAATAATACTCCAAAGGCAGCGCGGACGGGGCGGGCGGCTCGGGTGGCCCCTCAGCGCCGGCAGCCGCAGCCCAGGGCTCGGCCGAGTCGAGAACCCGGGGCGCGCCGGGGCGGGCTGTCGGCGTCGTCGGCCTCCATTTTCAAACCAGAGCGGTAGGAGGGGGAAAAACTGCAGAGAGAGGGGGCAAAGCCCAAATCCGTCCGGGCTAGGCGAAACAAACCTGACCCCGGCCCGGGGGAGAAGCTGTCCGCCGCCCGAGCCTCGGCGGCGGGAGGGCGCGACGCAGTTCGCAAGATTGCCCCGAAGTCCCCGGCGCGGGTGAGGCCGAAATGCGGAGTAAAAATGAATGAGAGGCTCCCCTCTTGCTGGTCCTCCGGACTCCGCTCGTCGCCGCCGCCTCCCTCAGCGCCGCCGCCGGGAGCTCCTGCCCAAAACCAGGACACACACAAAGCGGCGGGCCGACCGCGCCGCGCTCAGCACTCCCGCCACCCGCCCCGCGCCAGCCCCCGCCCGGCCCCCGCCTGCCGCGCCGCCGGCTCCGCGCGCGGGGGCTCCGGCGAGCTGAAGGTCAAAGCTGAGGCGCGCGGCGCGCCGTGGAGCTCCCCCGGCGCGGGAGGGGCGTGGAGGGCCCGGGGAGCGGGGCCGAGGGTCTCCAAGCGCCGGGCACGGGCGCGCCGGGAGCAGGCTCGCTGGCAGCGTCCCTCTCGCTCGCCCGCCGCTCTCGAGTTCGCCCGGTGCGCTCGCTCCTCCTCAGGTTTTTTTCCCTTTTTTTTTTTTTTTTTTTTTTTTTCCGCTCAGCGGAGTTAATGCTGGTAAACAAGAGCCTCAGCCTCGCCGCGCCGCTGCCGCCGCCGCTGCCACACACTGGGGGCTGGCGCGCGCGCGCTCGGGCCCGCGCACACGCGCCCGCGCGCTCCCGAGAGCCGCCACCGCCGCAGCCGCGGCGCGCCCAGGGCCCGGCCCAGACCGGCGCGCGCCAAGAGCCGGAGTCCAGGATCCCAGGGACGTGCGGAGCGGAGCCGGAGCGTGGGGTGCGAGGCGAGGAGGCACCGCCCCCGTCCCCCGCCCGCGCCGCCGCCCGCGCGCACCCAGGCACGCGCGCGCGCGCGCGCGCCCACTTGCTCTCGCTCCCACCCGCACTGCGCCGGCCTCCCTGCACGCGCGCTCCCCTCCCGCAAGACTCCAAAAACAATGCCCCCGGCGCCGGTCCGGGCTAGGCGGAGGGGCCGAACGGGGAGAGGATAAGGGGAGGGAGTGGGGTGGGCGGGGAGTGCGGGGCCCGAGAGGTTCATTGAAAACAACAACAGCGCGGCTGGAAAGCGCGTTTCCCCGGTTCTTGAAAAGCTTCATTGTTTCTTGCAGCTGTTGCAAAATAAATAAATAAGTGCGTGCATGCGGCATTTTTTCGCAGCGCGCTGGAAAGCCCGAACGTGGCGGGAGGGGCACACCTGGGAGAAAGGAGGCTCCCAGGCTCCCAAGACGGGCACTTTCACGCAAGGCTGCGGCGGCTGCGGTATAGCGACTTGGAGCCCAGAGTTCGGGGGCTCGCGGGGAGCTGAGGGGGAAGGGCGCGGCCCCTGGAGCTCGGCCCGGGGATGCGAGGGGAGACAGCCCGCCGCTCGCCGCGAGCCGGGAGCCGGGGAAGGGGGGCCCAGACAGGCTGCTGCCCCGCGTGCCCAGGACGCGTCCCCACGGCGACCGCCAGGGGGCGCAAAAGGCGCCGGGGAAGGCTGGCCCGCGGATCACCTCCCTCCCTCCGGGAGAGGAAATGTGGGGGCCCGGAGTGGGGGACCCGGAGGCCTGGGTAGTGCTGGCGGGGCCTCGAGGACCCGCGGCCCGCCCCGAAGGCTCCTCGCGCTGCTCTGCGCTCCACCACGTGGGCGGCTGCAGGGAGCGACCGAAGCGCGTGCACGGTGCGGGCTGCGGTGGCCCCGAGGCGAGGGGGTGTGTCCTAGGGGCCCCCAGAGGAAGAGGTCGGGGGCCGCGGCCCGGACCCCTCTCCAGGCTGGAGTCGGGACTCTGGAACACGCCACACACGCGCGCGATCCGTGGTCACAGCGGAAACCCACCCGCACCTGCCTCGGGTCCTCCCGGGCACCTCCCTCTTGCTTCCTTTGCTGTGTAAGTGACTAGAAATCGGCACCAACCACAAGTCTCCCCTGTGCTTTTCTTGAATGTACCCAAGGAGAGGCTTCCCCGAAGCCAGGCTGCCCTAGGACTGCCATCTAACGAATAAACGCTGCGGAGACCGGGTCCTTCAAGGGGGAAACGGTAGCAACGGCTGGAGAGAGGAGTTTGAAATACGTGGACTTTTAAAAATAGTGAGTGGACCACGTGTAGCCTTTAATGTGATCAGGTTTCATGACTCAGGCTAATTGATGTCCATAATAAATAAAAAGAAGATGGCTAATACAACTCGTGAATGTCTAGATCCAGTAGAAGTGTTTTTCTCATGAAAAACCAGGCTGTCTGGTCGGAAAACATCTGTCCTAAAGAAAAGGCAGGTTTCTTTTCTTTTTTCTTTTTCTTTTTCTTTTTTTTTTTTTTTTTACCCTCTAATTGTAAAAGATTTCCGAGTTACATTATGCATCCCATCGTTTGTAAACAATTTTTTTAACATGAGGATCTGAAAGCAAGTGAAAAGCTATCACAATGGAAACCTAGCCTCTTCCCCCACCCTATCCCATAGTTATTCCCTAGGTCCTTTTTCTCCTTGGAAATTTTAAGCTCAATTCAGTGAGTCAGTTGTATAGAAGGGAAGTACATCTTTTTACTTAAGAGGGTTATTCATATGGGGTTGTGTTGCTTAACTGAAATTCAGCTTCATTTTTAAATGAAATGTTCCAGTTTTAGATGCTCTGGACATTAACAAAGGAAGAAGTGTATTCGAATCTTTTAAAAGAAACTTAAATTTAGCATGTATCATTTAAAAATTAGGCACTACTGTGAATAAATAAAATTCGGTCTACTGATTTTTAAATATTTGTTCAGAGTTCTCTGCATGAGGTTAGTCTTAATGCCTACAGATTCATTCTGCAGTTAAATGAAAAGGAAAATCAATATTATATTTTCACTATATTTGGTATTTAGAATTTTTAGATACAAACTTATAAATTTAGAAGTTTAGAGCTGACTTTTAGGACTACTGCTAATATAAAAATCTTTAAATACCACACAATATAGTTTTAGTATCAGTAATAAAAATTCCCATTCAGTTGTCCCTAAGGACATGAGCTACACAGAATAAAGAGAAATGCTTAGTTATTTAAATTGTAGGGTTTTTTAAAAACCAAGATGACTTTTCATTTGTATATTTTTTAGATGTTTGTATTTTCTTACAGTAAGAAATCAATAAGATTAAGCTATTTTAGACAGTGAAGTTAAATACCTATATATCTTAATAGTTAGGAAAAAAGAATCAAAATGCAGTTTGCCTTTCAGTTTTAACCTGATCACATAGACAAAGAAGTTTGATTATATCTTTTTTGCATGATTACATTCTACATACCGAAGTCAAACTTATTTTTTCAGCCTTGGAATAAAATCATGCAGTAAAACAGTTATGGGAGTCTTTGCTTTGCGACCACACTGATAATCTCTCATCAAACTCAGTTACTTTTTATGCAATTCCCCGCCTCCAGTCTTATACATTTCTCTTCTTTTGGAGCAGAAACTGATGGCTCGTTTTCATTTTTTAAAAACTGTTCACTTGAAAGGAGCTTTATGAAAAATTATTCCGCTACATGTACCAGACTGCCCCCCCCCAATGTAATATATATCTCATGAAAATATGAGACAGAGCACACTGACAATTGACAAGTAGTAGTAGTAATCTAATACATCGTGATTTCTTCCCAGGATGGAATGGTATTCAGTAGCAAAAGCGAATAAACTACAGCCACACAGAACAGGGGCGGATCTTTGAAAGACGATGTTAAGGGGGGAGGGGAAAGGAAGTTCTGAAAAACTACACAAATGACGTTGTGGTAAAGCTCCTAAGAGAAAGGACAACAAGAAATATATGGCAAAATTTTTAATGCAAAAGAATGAAACACATGACAACATATTTTTGTCTTGTTTTGTCATTTAACGAGAGGATTAATAAAGAACAAAACATCCAGAGTCCTGGTTACCCCTCGGGAAGGGGGGCGATCCAGGAGCAACGCGTTACTCTTAGAAATATGTCCATTCTTGGACCTGGTGTTGGATTTACAGCTTCCACTCTATAGTTATGCTTTGTAACCAACACACATGTGATATATATTTTGTATGTATAATATATTAAAGGAGATAATAAAAAGTATATGGAGGAAAGCCACAAACGAGATTGCCCCACTTTTCCAATATGAGTCTTCCGGATTCTGAGCTATTAGTATCAGCAATTCAAAAGAACTACGAAAAACGATACGCTCAAAGTCTCATCCTTCAAGATGCATTTCAGGAGAAGGTGTGCCCACATCTGATCCATGCAATTCAAGGCAAAAACAAATCATGAAACACAAAATGTAAAAGAATTCTCTTCATAGGTCCTCGAGATTATTAATGAAGAGGGCACGTTATGTAAGTTGTCTGGCAGCTTCCTTATAAGGGTAAGTGGGCTCCTAACATAAAATCCAGCAAGTCTACATATTGCAAATTAAACAAAAGAAATGAAAATATGTACACACATACACACACACACACACACACACACACACACAATGACCCTGTATGGAAATGTTGATAGTTGTTTCATTTAAAATAGCAAAAAAGAAAAAAAGATAGAAAAAGTTAAAAAAAAAAAAAGAGAGAGAGAGAGACAGAGAGAGAGAGAGACATGGCCGGTGTGGCTCAGTTGATTGGAACATTGTCCCATAAACCAAAGGGTCACTGGTTCTTTACCCGCTCAGGGTACTTGCCTTGATTGCAGGTTCAGTTCCCAGTCAGGGCACCTATGGGGAGGCAACTGATCGATGCTTCTCTCTCATATCAATGTTTCGCTCCCTCCCTTCTCCTCTTTCTGAAATCAATGAGTATGTCCTCAGGTGAAGATAAACAATATTTTTTTAAAATTTAAATAGCAAAGAAAACCAAAAAAAACCTGGAAACAACCCAAATGCAATGAAAGGAGAACGGATAAACAAATTGTGATATAGTCATTCCTCGCAATATTGCTTATCAATGAAAAGGAATGAACCGCTAATATGTACAAAACCACGAATGAGCCCCAAATGCAAAACGCATAAGCCAGGCTTAAAAGAGTACATGCTGTATTAGTTCATTCATATGAAGTTCAAGAGCAGGCAAAACCGATCTGTGAGGCACAGTCATTGTTGCCCTTGGTGGGGAGTAACGGGATATTGTAGACGACTAGGCAAAGCACAAAGGACTTCCCAGGGGGGCGGCGAGGCTCTGTGTCTTGATGGGGGTGTTGAGTCCAGTGGTGTATGCCTTCCCCGAAAACACACTGGACTGTACACTTACCAGGGATGCACTTCATTGTGTGTAGTTACATCTGAGTTTG